ACATGCATTAAAATCTCACTACACTTCTGGAGTGATGTAAACACCTTCTTTAAGGACCCTTTTTGCTACCAGAGTGCTCTTAGATTGAACAAGAGCCAGGGATCATTGTTTCCAACTTCTGGTGTTCCCTGCCTTGAACTTTCAAAATCCATCAAGATAGAAGGGTTCTCCCCCCCCTCATCCTTTAATTTTCATCTTACAAAACACTCATCAGTTTGCCATGCTGGTTCTTAAAATTAATTGTATTACACTTACCCTTGCTGAGTGCTTTTGATAGTGTAGAAACAGGGAATTTAATAGTATAGGGACACACCAATTCCATGCCTTGTGATGTGTAAGAATTGGGTTCAAAACCTGTTAGAAACTGGGTCATTTTCTATTTGTCTGTAGCTGCCAATTAGCAATGTCATTAATCCACTGCCTAGGAGAAGTGCATGCTTAAAATAGACAGTGTCACTGGCCACTGACAGGATGATACGCACAAGGCTGTACTGTAGCTGCCTGTCATTGTGCTGCTGTAGGTAAGGCTCAGCCTTGTTTTCCAGAGGAAAGTAATGATTTCATAATTTCTTTGCATCTGGGTGTAAAGACAGATGCATCATCTGGACTTTGAATGCTGTTTTTTGTTGTGTTCTGGACAGGGAACCTGAGTCAGACCCTGGGATTGCTGGTGCCCCACCTGGCACCCACTCTCTGGCCACTTTGATTAGGGAACACATTGTGTCTGTGAATGTCCTTCGCCCACGGAGCCATCCAAGGCTCCTCGGGGGTGGCAGATTTGAATTTTGCCTCCTCAAGGATGAATATCTGAGGCTGGGCCAAATCTTTGTTTTCTGCTGGTGAGAGAAAGGGTGATGGGGGAAGAGGTGTGGGAGGCCTTGAGAGGTCTGGCTTGACTTGCTGCTGCTCTGGGTGCAGCAGGAAGGGGCTGGTGGTGCATGGCTGCTGCCAGGAAAGGCCAACCTCCAACTGGAGACCACAAACCCTCAGTGGCAGTGGCCAGCCTGGCTTTCCCAAGGCCACAGATAAAATAAGCATTGACCTAGGACAGCAGACAGTGGAGGAGGGTGTACAGTCCTGCTGCCTTCTCCCTGGTGTGTTGGATAGGAGGAATTTTGTTTCTTAGTGGGAACTGTGCTCTTGTTGCTTGCTTAAGATGTCCAGTGCTTTAATTTAAGCTCCACCTGAGGATCAAATCTCTCAGAAAGACAGAAGGGTTTTTTTCCCCCCATTTCACTTTTGAGGGAAAAACATTCCATGACAGAGGATGAAATACCAGGAATGTTTTTTTAGGTGAACCTTCCAACTTCTGGTTTGTAGCCACAATAATTTGTGGGTGAAGGAAATATTTTTATACTGAAAATTTCCCAGGAAACTGTTTAACAGGGAATTGGAGTTTAATTGGCACTTATGAGACATTAGGAATAATTGTATTCAATTTGGCCACTCAGCATAAAGTGTGATTCGGTATCAGCTGATTTATGTGCTGAACAAAAAGGGAAAAAAAAAGCTCCCAACCAACCCAAAAAAGTAAATAAAAATGAAAAAGAAAGCAAATTAAATGTGTGGACTGGCAAATATATGCCATTAGCTTTGTATTCCTAGGCAGAAGTCATATGTGGTGCTTGTCATATGTTTTTCCCCACAAGGTGTTTTGCCGGACTGGAAGAAGTAGAAGGAGCATATATTAGCTGGAGGGAAATGGTTTGGCTTCAAGTTCATGCTTTTGCAGTGAGCTGGCTTAGTTTTATCCCTGCTATCTCTTTTGCTGTCATTTTTTTTTTTTTAGGAATGTCCCAAAAACTTAAAAAGACCCCAACAAAATCCATTTACATGTTTATACTTTTATCATGCATGTGAACAAAAAATGCAAGGGAACATATTTGATGTGGGGTCTTGTGTATGATGCAGGATAGCAATCACCATCCCTTGAACATTTTTTTTTCCCTTTGCAGCAGAGTTCATTGTGCTCCCTCAGTGCTGTAGGTGAAAACAAAGGCAGTGGCACTACTAAATGATTGCAGCTTCCGAGGCTGGCTGAGATCAGAGAACACAAACTATATGCAATTTAAGTGCCTGTTTGTTTGCAAGCTGCCACACAGCCTAATATATACACACGAGTGATGTAAGGCAGAAGAGGTGACCTGATTAGCAAAACCTTTGCAATGAGCCAAGGAGATCCCTGCTCCCCTCCTTGGAGACCTGGTCCCAGCTGGAGGAAACCTTCCAGCAGCTACCAGAGGGTTTCTGAAATGGCAGTGGCAGTGCTCTGTGTGCATGAAGGTGAGGGAAGCAGGAAGAGCAAACAGCCTGCACAGCTCATGGAATAGCTGGGATGTTTTGAAGGATGTAGCTTGAATTCCTTGGGCTCTGTGAGCTCGGTGTGCATGGGGAGGCTGCGCTCCCTCAAACGGCTCGCACCGCTTGGTTGTGCTGCTTATCCTGTTACGTGAAAGCATCATTCAGCAGAAAGAAGTTCTAGGGGAAGGAAGAAAAAGTAAGTGGTCTTCCCATTTGTAAGCTCTCCCAGCCTTGTTCTCATGTCTGCTGAGCAGGCACAGCTCCACAGCTGTGAATGTGATGCTCAGCACTAATTGCACTCGTGTTTATTAATCCAAATCAGAGAAACAGATGAAATTTTATATAGGTAAGAAGACACGTTTGATCTGAGACTTTCTCTTGTGAGTACATGCACAGTTAGGATGTGGCTTTTGGATATTTTGTGCAGTACTGTGCCAGGACAGCATGCAGGCTCGTGGCAGCAACCTGGGATTTTAGATGAGGAGCCCAGGGCACTATTTCTGGCTCTGCTGTAGCTACTTGTGTGGCCGAGTGTATTAAATCCTGCTCCTAAAGCCAGCGAACCGTTTCTTTGGGCTTCATTCTTAGACTTGCTGAATGCCCCGAAAGGCTGCTATTATTAGAGGGAACTGCCATTCCTTTGCTCTGAAAGTGGGCTGTCCATAAATCACCAGTGTGTGTTTTCCATGGGGAGGTGGGTCTGGGACCTCAGCTCTCTCCCTGACAGCCCATGGAGCTGCCAGAGCTCTGCTCTTCCTCCTTTCTGCTCAGCCCCTCCACAAGGGTAGATTCTCCCGGTCAGAATGCTGTTGGCTGTGCCACTTGGGCTTGGCACCAGGACAGTATGGTTTCCCATGGCTTCTCTTGCTGCCCTGGTGGGGCCAGTCCCCTCCTGCTGCCCCATGCAAACTGCCTCCTCTTGACCTGTTTCTACCCCAGCGCACTGCCTGGGGCCATATCTGAGATGACCTCTCAGTTTGGGCTATTTTTTACTCTTTTAAGAACAATAAATGCATTTCTGTGGCAGCAAAGACATTAATTCCCTTCTATAAGTGATGCACTCAAATGTTTTGTAGTTACAGACCATTTAGATGGCAGTGCCTGTGCTGATACTGGTCTGCTGTGATTTGATGCAGCAATGTCCTTGCTCTGGATGGGCCTTGCCATAATAGTACTTTTTTGTCATTTCTTAGCTCCCATTAGTGCCTTGATAAGTGGTGGAAGATGTTTCAACAGTTTTATGATTAAAAAGAAACATCTTACCATTGCTTGGTCTCTGGTTCCTTTACTTTGTTCATTATGCTTTCCTTGGTAGTAAAGCAGTGATTTAGAATTGCAGTGTCAACATCAGTCTCTGAGCCCTGTGTTTTCTGGGAAGGGGAAGAAGGGAAGATGAAGGAGGAACTCTAAATAGTAGAGTTTTTTCTTCTGACATTTCCAGGCCAGCTGTTTGAAACTGTGATTCCTCAGAGTGTTTACTTAAAATTCTGTCATTGGGTTCATGTATGGGGACCCGTTGGCAGTTGCCAAGGAGTACATGTGGCCAGAGTTTGGTGATGCTGGGCCAGGCCCAGGGCGCTGATTTGTGCTCCAGGTCCGCTGCAGTCACGGCACTCGTGCCAATGGCCTTAATACAGAGGTCAAAGACTGCTTAGATATGAAGGCTGAATCACCTCCTTGTTAAACCCCTCAGCAGGATCAAGGCTTAGGGAAGCAGACACGTGGGCTTGCCTTCTGGCTGACACTGTGGATGGAGGCTCTGACTCTGGGACAGGCCCTTCCGCAGGTTTGACCAACTCTTGAGGCGTTAAATTGAGGGCATTTGATGATTAAAACACCCCTGCACTGACACCCCTTTGTGAAAACCAGTACATTTGTTTCCTTTAAATACTTACTGATCCCACAAGCTCTCAGTGGTTAGAGGAGGTTTATCCTGTCACCTGAGGATCTCAGAAATCAGTAGTGAGCCTGCCAGTCTCACCAGGCAGATGTGAAAGTTCTTCAACTGCACGTATTTCTCTTGCAAATATAAATAATCCAGCAATGTAGACTTTGCTGCAGCCCTGTTTGCCTTGGCAGTGTCCCATTGACATGAATCAGAAGGTGGGAGCAAAAAAGCACTGGAAGCTCATCCTGAGACTCCCCTCCATCAGGGAACCTGTCTGTGCAGGCAGGGTGATTGGAAGATTACTGGCACAGCCCACAAGCCTGGTTTCACTAGATCTTTGCATTTGGAGCAGTCCTGCTTTGTTTCCTTGTGCTGTGCCTTTGGGAACCTTGCCTCTCAGGCACTGGGCAGGAGAGGCCTGGAAGGAGCAGCTCTGGCTTTGGCCTTTGCTCCTGTAGCTTTGGCTCTTTGAGAAGAAGGCAATTCTCGTGGTTCAAGTTGAGAAGCAGGAGGTTGGTTCTTAATCCTGCTGCATCTCTGCAACTTTTGGCAGGTGTCTGGGTCACACTGTACCAGAGTTCTTAAGATTTAAAATAGGGATAGAAATTAGGAATTGAAAAAAAAAAAANAAATTAGGAATTGAAAAAAAAAAAAAAAAAAAAAAAATGAAAGGCTTAAATGAGACTCATGATGGTTTGATCTTCAAGGCTGTGATTTAATATTGATAACGATAAAAAGTTTATCATGGTATTAGTAGTTGGGAATGTGGAAAATACATGGGTTTAACTTTTTTTTTTTTTCTTAATTTCAGCAAATTCAGTAAAGCTAGAAATGCAAAGTGATGAGGAATTTGACAGGAAGCCCCTGATTCATGAAGATATTATCAGAGCTCATGATGGAGGAAGCAGCCTGGAAGATCCCTTCATTGGGAGTAACGAGATGGTGGATAACAGAAAGATGCAGGAGCTATCAAGCGAGGGAGGAATCCGGCTTCCGAATGGTAAACTGAAATGTGACGTCTGTGGCATGGTTTGCATTGGGCCCAATGTGCTAATGGTACATAAAAGGAGCCACACTGGTAAGCAGCTGAAAGAAAATCTGTGGCGATGTTGATGTTACCTGACAACTCTTATCTCTTCCCTTTTCATTCTTGGGGTAGCAGGAGGCTGGGGAGGGGGGAAATGGGCTTCATTGGTTTTGTTTTTCTTCCTGTTTTCCACACTCTGGTGCTGCTCTCTTGCTGGCAAGCATGGTGCTTCCTTTACTTTGATTTCCAGCCTTCCATTCTTAAAAACAGTGCAAAAGTCTGGAAATTGCTTTTCTTACTGTTCTTGACTGGAGCAAGATGGTGGGAGTCATTCTCTGGCACGGTGTCGGGTGGGTCGTGTTGTTTGTGCGTGTGCAGTGCAAAGCTTTTGAGCTTTTAAGAGGAGTGTTAGATGTTCTTCCATTGGAGGTGCTCACAGGTGGACAAGACCAGCAGCTTCCTGGGGATCTCTCACTTCTTTTGGAAGTGGCTGGGCCTGGGATGAGCAAACCCTGGAGGGGACACTCATTACCCAGTGATCCTGATGCCAGGGTGGGCTTGCTGCTCACTGTGTGACAGCTCCCTCAGGGGGACCTCAGCTGAGCCCCTCTCCTGGCTCCCTCACACCATCTCAATACCATTCTGGAGGAAACTTTCAGTGCTTGGTCTCTCCCAGCACTTGTATTTTTATTACCATTTAGAGTCCCAAACAACAAGCTTGTAGGTTTGAGATCTTAAGAGGCAAAGGGAACTTCTGCAATATGCTGATTGGGCGGGTCTTTGTGGTTTGAAAAATGAGGCCCTGGGCTTAAACTGGGGTATTTCAGGGGACCTGTGGCTAATGTGGTAAAACAGTGTGCCCAGGAAGCTGGTACTCGCTCCTCTGTGCTGCCCACTCCTCAGGTGGGAGCAATAGTCACCTCCTACAGAAGTACAGGTGGTGCCAGAAGATGATGCTCTCTGGTCTTGCAGCAGTCTACCTTTGATTCAAAAAAGCACTTAAGCTTGTGCTTAACTTTTATGAGATTTAAGCGCATGTAAGTCACCTGAAGGGCTTCAAGATATGCTTAACTTCGGATACACACTTAAATCTTATTACGGTTAAGCACAGGTTTTTGTGGTGGAGCCTCAGCAGGTGTTTGTTGTTTGAACTTTTTGGATAGTTTGCTTTTTATCTTTGCTGTTATTTAATGGGATGAGAGACTCACACTGGCTGAGATCTGTGAAAATATAAAAAGAAAGGTGGAGTTTTAGAGCAGAGTTAAGAGAGACTGTGTAATCCCTTTGTAAACCTGGTAGTTTGTAGTCCAGTAGTGTGCTCTTGATGGGCAAGAAATCAATAGAATTTCTGTACAGAGAAATAATAAATATATATTACATAGTTAATCTCCTGTATATGAGTTGTATTGATAAAAACTTGACCTAAGTGTGTAATGCAAAGCATGGCAGTATCATTTATGATGCACTCATGATTTTAGACAGGAATTATGAGAGGGGAAAAGCATTAGCTGGAGAATCAAAACCTTGATTAACAATTTGACGTGCTGTTACTAGAAGATGGGAAGAGAAACAAACATGTACCAGACTGAGTCTCCAGTTTTCAACCTCCCAAAAAGTTTTCGCTGGTGCTTGCATGTATCTGAGCATATGTATTGTAGGTGCATCGGAGTCCATGTATTTGAACTCGAGCAGCTAAGCTAGCTGTGCTAAATTTAGATTTAGGTACTTAATTAAACGGCCTGCATTTCTGAGATACTAAATAGCTGGTGCATCTTTTAAATGCAGGCAAGCTGCCTTTTTCATGTTAAAAGAAAGATGTGTAAATTCAAAGTGAAAGAAACAAAATCTCCTCTGCGTGTGGGCAAGAAGGCCGTCTGCGGGTGCATGGGCAGCAATTGCATAACTGGTAGCTTTTTCCTTCGGGCTACTGCTGGTTCCTCAGAGAGCTCTGACTCTTTTCCCATCAGAGCAGAGGAGCTGGGATGTGCTGTTCTATACAGATGATTTCAAGCATATAGAAATGGCATTTTTCTTAATGCACAACTCGGTGCTCTGTTCTCGGTAAACCAGTTGGCAAATTTTGCAGAGGATTTTTTTCCCCTCCACTTTGTTTGTTTGTTTTTTAATACATGCTGCTACTTTGCTGTCCACAACAGAAGGAGAAGTTTGCTTGGATTTCCACATCCTGGATTTTGAGGCATATTTTTAACATACTGCTGGTATCTATCTTGTAAAGCACAGTATTTTAAAATATATTGCCACTTCCTCAGCAGCGGGGCGTGATGGGCTGGCCCCAGCTCTGGAATGAGCCCTGACCTGTGGGTAGTCTGGTTTTGCAGCCCGAGGGAGAATGGTGGAGAGAAGGGAGGTTGTCCCTAGTGAGTGGAAACAGATGACATTCTTTATCAGCTAATCCAACCGGCATGTACATCCCTACCTCTCAAAACCAATTTAAGTATGTTTTGGGAGCTGAATCCTGCTTTATTCTCCTCTTTAGCTGCACACAACCAGATCTGGCCAGTTGTTTACATTGGCAAAAACTGAAGTGCTTTTCCCTTCCCCGAAAACCTGTCAGCATTTTATGTAAATCACCCAAAATGCTGTGGTCCATAGCAGAAGCTGTAATTTGTGTGTGTGTGCTGGGATGAGTGCAGCTTTCCTTGCACTGGGGATTGAGTCTTGGCAAGAAGCTGTGCTGTGGGCTCTGGCTGTGCTATGCACAGAGAGGGGCATTTCTCCAGCATTATTCCTTTGTTCCTGAAGAGCAGTTGTCTTCCGTGCCAGATTATGGTAGTTCAGTCAGACAGATACAGGGATGGGGAAAATAATCTGTATCATGGATGAGGCCAGAGTAGGTGAGCTCAGTGTCCCATCTCTGATCCTGGTGTGCAGTTACCCCTTCCTGTGATAGATCAAGCTGGGGATTGTCCATTCATCCCTCAGATGGTGCTCCAAGTGATGCTCTGGTCTGCAGCCCCTCCATCACGGGGCCCGTGGCACTGCTGATTGTGCCAAACACAGCATTTCTCTGAAAAACTGACAATTGAGGTGAAGTGGTTTTGTACTCTGCCTGGGCACCAGGAGAAGGCCTTTCTATTTATTTGCAATTGCTGACAGAAAATAAATTAAATGCTTGGTATGGGAATTAAGAGTGATGCAATCTCTGCATTAGTGAGCAGGTTAACCCTCTCCCTCATGTGCCACATCCTTGTGTCAGAAAAATAGCATAAGATGGATTCATTTCTCTCTTTTCCCATACTGTGTTCTTTTGGTCCAAATTTCATGCTCCACAGCCTATTCCTCAAGTTGCAGGATCTCTGTCAGTTTTTTGTTACTGCAGGCGATGGCTTGGTCATAGCATATTGCCATTGGATACTGAGATTTATTCTTAGGGATGGAGAGGGAAGAGGGGCAAGGAGAAGAAGCAAATAATCCAGGTTTTCTATGATCATGAGAAGGAATCTCAGTGATTTCTCACCTCTTTGTTTTCTGCTGTGGGCCTGAATTAAAATTTCCTTGCTCCTGGTTTCTGGTAAAGGAGGAACCATATTCTGCTACAGCTGTCCTGATACTTCTGTGCTCTGCAAGGCCCACATGTTGTTCTCCCTTTTGCTGTCAGTTGTGACCCTTTTTAAATTTTTTTTTTCTCTGCTGTAACATCCAGTCCCTTGTCTAGTTCACATCTAGATTTTTAAATGTTTTTTATTTCTAAGGGAAGGCTGGTATCACAGAATCATGGAATGGTTTGGGTGGGAAGGGACCTTAAAGTTCATCCCATTCCACCCTCTGCCATGGGCAGGGACACCTTACACAAGTCCAGGTTGCTCTAAGCCCCATGCAGCCTGGCCTTGAATGCCTCTGGAGACTGGGCTTCCACAGCTTCTCATCCTCATTGTTTTATGAAGCACAGAGGTTAAATGCTTTCTCTGTGTGGGTGCAGCAGCAGCACATGGCAAAGCACAGCCTGGGCAGAGGCAGTGGGGATCAGCCTTGCCCCACTCTTACCTTGGGCTGCTGGTATGTTGCTTTTAGGCTTTTTTTGGGGTGTTAACTACAGGACAGTCTCAGATCTTTGCTTGGGCTCCACAAGCAGTTTGATACCGTAAGTCAGTGAAATGTGTTGTGTGCCCATGAGGGGATGTTCAGCCTCTGCTTTAGCACCCTTAGTGTTACAACTGAACTTATGAACCCTGGAACTCTGAATGCAATTTAACTTTTTTTTCCCATGCAGAGTTCAAGTTTCTAGGACAGAAGTAATAAATGAGGAAAAACCCAGTTGTGTTGTTCCATAGGCTTAGGCATGTATGCCTAAGCAGCTAACCAGAAGCAAATTTAAACAAATGGTCATATAAACACATTTTGATCAACTCCACTGGACTGCCTCTCTCATTTTGCTGGCAGAAAGGTTGGTTTTTTGTTTTTTTTTTGTTTCATTTCTAATTTGTAACCTACTGCAGCCTTCCTGTCCCTAGCAATGTTAATAGATTTGGCACTGAATCAAAAAATGTAGGGCTGAATTTCTCAAAGACCAGTTTTCTACCTAGGTTCTGAAGTGTAACTTTCTGAAAAGTCATCTCTTTTCCTACTTAAGCATAAGAAAGAGAAGCTGAAATTTTGAAATTGCTCTGGGCATAAGGATGTGTTTTACTTACAGTTCTCAATAACCAAAATCTTCTGATAGTTTTGCCAAGTTCAATTACAAGATTTTTCTGTCTTAAGGATGCAGTCATAAATTTGTGCAGAGGACAATTAGAAATCACCCAGGATTTCCCAGGAATTTTTCACAAGAGATTTGTCACTACTGTTTTATAATAAACTGCCCTATCGGGAAGCAGGTTTTTTCCAAAAAAAAAAACCAAAAACAAACCCTACTAAAATCACTGATTTCATGTGATGTGCAGGCTGTTGAATGAATCAGATAGAACAGTAAGGAGGTAATTATGGTCCCTGGAATAACAGAGAAATGGAGCAAAGTCTGCTGCTTTGTGTCTCACTTAGGTAAATGCAGGTTGAAGCTGACTGCTGTCGCTGTGTTGGGAGCACTGCTGATA